ATCAAGTCCTATTTCTTGATTTAGGCATTGAACATAATTTCGATGCTGATTGCTAAATTGACAAAATATATGAAGTCAGTGTGTTTGTTTAATTCAGAGAAGGATTATCTTGCTACAATATTAATAAAGTTATTTGTATTACAGCTGGACAGTACCATGAACAATACCACATCGCTAAAGGTTCCACTGGTCACAGCTATAAAACAGTTTTCAGTAAATTTATTGACGAGTTTTTAACAGAAGTACAAGTGGAAGATCCTTACATCCGAAACACTCATCAGATTTACAATTTTCTTAGGTTCTGTGAATTGTTGGTGATACCACCCGCTAGAGTTCGTAAAATCAGTCTGGTTACTGGTCCTGATGAGGTAAGAGGCATTTCTAACCTTTGAGCACCATTATCAATCATCTACGAAATGATTTTGTATAGTCTGAACCCCACTGAAATGTTCATAAAAATTGACAAAAAAAGTTTCAAATGGATTAAAAACTAAAAAATAATATCTAAAACTGTCTGTGAGTTCCAAAATAAATTTACTGAAAATTTTAGCATATGTGAAAATATTTGCACTAAGTTTGGGCGGGAAAAATATCTGGCTCTCAAAGCGTTAGATGACCATATTCTTCAGAATGATTCTCTTTGACATGAATCACTCTATTCCTGTTTCACAGGTGAATTTTCAACAACAGAAAAGTAGACTCAATGAATTGGTGGAAAGTTTAATGAAATATGAAATTACGCTGGAGATTAACTACACAACATCACTACATGATAGAGAAATCAGGTAGGTCTCTATATCTCGCGCATGTGTGGCAAGACGACTACCGCTCTTTAATATAAAAACATTGTCTGCTGATTCCATTCTATATCTGTTGGCTTTTCATGGAGGTTTTCAGCAGGTAATATGATCATAGACCTTGTTTTCTAAGGTCCATGATATGATAAATGATTACATAACCATAAGAGATGTTGTAAAACTGTGTGCATTTTGTTTGAAAATGCATTTAGATAAAAATCTGTTGTTTTTGTAGTATTAGTTTGATGCAAAATACTGTAACCAGTATATGTACAGGTAAATCCATGTACATTAGAAACATTAATTTCAATGAAAAAACTAAACAATAAGTCATACTTATGTGATAAATAAAATGTGTTGTTTTTGTTCATTTTTTTTTTTTTTTTGGTCGATGAACTTATTTTTTATTAAAGTGTGGAAGTCATCAACCTGTGCATGCGTCAGACGACCATAGCGTTTCATTGTTTACAGACAAGGATCTACCCATAAGCTTTTGCATTTTTAGCATGCGTTGTTATCAGCTCTTAGAATTCCAGTGTGTGCGTGTCTGACAACCCTCAATTTTAAACCACCTTAGTTTGTTCAAAACTTAAATATGTTTTTCAAATAAAGTATCTTCAATGTAAGCAAACTTTTTAACCTGTATTACGCTTTTTGTGAATACAAAGCTGACATTTACATAGATATATGTGGTTAATCAAAATACTACACTTTGTCAAATCAAAATCTAATCGTGATATAACAAACACCTCATGAGTACTTAATTTTTTCTTTCAGGTTCAATAATGGCTGGATCATAAAAATTGGAAGAGGACTGGATTATTTCAAAGCTACAGGAAGATTTGCTATTGGATTCTGTGATTTTGATCTCAGAGAATGCCATGAGACAACTGTAGATATTTTTCACAGCAAACATACCAAGTCTTCTGCCTCCACATAATGATTCTACATCACACACGAAAAAAAAAACTATTACTTCTTGTCCTTGAAAATTGAAGTAATACAGTGGTGCAGGTCTCAAACTATCACACAATCACGAAAAGCAAAACATTTTTTTATTTGGCATAATTAACTCTATGGTCTTTTACACCTTTCCAAAATATATGGCGCCCTCTAGAGCCCAATAATGTTTCATATCAACAATCTAACTTGGTTGTATAGTCGTTCACCATTCAAAATGTGGCAAATGTATTTTCGATAAGGTACTGTATATAAAAAATAAATGCTAGATAAATTCTAGTCTTTTTGGAAAGGTGCATCAGGTTCAAAACAAATATTGAAATTTTTTTTTAATGAATTTTTGAAAAGGAAAAAATCTAAATAAAATCGCAATTTTTATGAACATATTAAAATTAAACATTTCAACAACATTTCTGCAATTGCCCAGAAACTTCTTTTATTTTCAGAGCCTTGGTGATAGAACTTTTGACAGTTTTTGAAATTGCAACAGGAATTATGAAGTCACTTGACAACTCAGAGAACCTGACAGTCACTGCCCACATTTGTTTGTATTGTCAAATATGCAATTAAAAAATGATGTTAATAAATATAAATGATTTTTAATATGTTTGAAAAGATTTTGAATAAATGCAAATCAGTTTTTTAAACACTGTCTGATTTATCGTCACATTTTCCATGTTATAGACCAACAACATGCACTTGCAACCCAATATATTTTATTATCTTCACAGTTTGTTTACTTCATCTTGTTTTATATGGCTTTTATGTGACCTATATGCATGTTAAAATTAAAGAAAGGGTTGTTTACACAAACTTTGAACGCATGCTGCTTGACCACCACTTCAACTTACTGTATAAGTGTATCAAGGTTCCATATACTGTAAAATGACTAATTTTCACTGGGTTTAAATTTCGCTAATTTACTATTCCAGGCATATTCAGTGGGTTTTAAACTCACGGTTTTATCATTTAGATAATGTGTTCTGTGCTAAATTTTACATATTCACTGGGTTTTTATTTAGCGTATTTTCCAGTCAGCAAAATAAGCAAAATTAAAACCCAGTGAATAATTAATCCTTTTACAGTATGTTTAATATTAAGGTCCTAGAACAGTTGCAGGGATATCACTTAGAATTTAGACAATGTCCACCAGTCTGCCTTATTAGACAAATCACAAAGTTTAAATTGAAATGAGACTAGAATTCTCACAGATGCACAGTATTGAATCATTGGACAGGAACTAATGTTAATTGCAAATCGAAAGTTTCTTCTGTTACCACTGATCATGAATTCTGGTTAATTGTTGATGGACACTTGAATAAAAGATATTTTACTATTGTGCCAATGTAAAATATTTTGTGTGAACAGTACACTGCAGGGCTTAAGAAAAACTATGACATCGTTGATGCTGTTCAATTTAGGGTGGTGGAACAGTACATTTTTAAAAAAATCATGATTCATTTGCATTT